CGCGCGCCGCTGCTTCCGGTGCGAGTTACCGACCGGTGTGATGCTTCCATTTGTTGCGTGCGGTGTGGTTTGCACGCAATATCCTCACGCCCTGTACGGAAAACCCCCCATTGGGGCATTTAAGCCCTCCCGCGGGGGCCGATGATCGAGCGACGGCGCCCGCACATTGCGACAGTGCACGGGATATTGTCACTCCTCTGGGAAGGGAGGGCCTGAAAGAAGATGGGGTGAGCCCGTTTTTTTTTTGTCCTTGGGGCGGAGCGGCACGCGGAAGAGCGTTGGATATTGTGACGACCCCTGCACGCACCAGCCGAGCACTGTTCCTGTTTTTTTTTATTGTCTTCTCTGCCGCGTTGTGGCGGTGCCCAGTTTTTCCCATTACACCTACTATCTTTTCTTCAAGCAACGACTCCTGTATGCCCCCACGTATTCCACGAATTTGACAAATAGCTCATGGTGCCGCGTGGGCTAGAGCCCTTACTCTCCAGATTGGCACAAAATCACTTTTCTTTCCTTCTTGCTTTTTCTACGAACTTCCTTTGGTCCGTCCTCAATAGGATGCGCGCGTAGAGGGGCCCATTTTTGAGCAGAAGCCATGGCTTCTTTGCGAAAGAGATTTTTCACCTTTTTTTTTGTTTTTAGACTTGTTAGCGATGGTTTTCCTCTTTTGTGTGTTGTTCTTGGACTCCATTTTTGATTATGACGCCCCGGAGGAACTTGGCGTTGATCCGCTCGCGCCGGAGTGTATGGAGTGTGTTGGAGAACGGCTCCTGGTGGATGCCAAGACGGGCAGAGTGGGAGATAATAGTGGGGAGAACGTTATCCCGTTAATGGTGGTCCCGCTCATGCTTGACCTGGTAGAGTTCAAGAAGGTGATCTGCAATATCAGTGTGCCAATCCGGCGGCTGGTTTTGGTCCAGAACGGCGAGGAGGCGAAGCTGTGGTTGCACCTGCAGAAAGTAGAGAACTTGTATGGGCGGACTGGGCGCTTGATTGTGAGGCATTTCCCGGAAAACACTGCGTATAGCAGCGCTGTGAACGTCGGGTTGCGTTTCTTGCTTTCGCTCCCCTGCGAGGAAGCACCTTTTGTTGTTGTGACGAACAGCGACGTGACCTTTTCCCCGGAGCTTCTTCCCAAACTCCTGCGTGACGCGTATGCGCAGACAAGGCACGATGCAGCTCGCATGGACGCGTTGGCTGCAGAAGTGGCTAATGAACCGAACGAGTACAGCCGTGCCTCCGGAAGAAATATGAAGTTGCTGCGCTCTACGCCGGAGGATGGCCGATTGTCGACCTCAGCGCTGCTCCCCGACCGTATCCGTTACGCCCCTCTGGACGCGCGTGCAACGGCATTTTCGCAGCACTACGCATGCTTCTGTGCGCAGTACGACGGGTGGTGTTTTACTTCTGTTATCTTGACACGCTTGGCGTTCAGTACGGTGGGATATTTTGACGAGAACATTTACCCGGCCTACTTTGAGGATGTCGATTATCTCTTACGCCTCCGCTTGCGTGGGTTTAAGGAGCGAAAGGTCAGATACGGCACCTTTGTGCATCAACTGGCTTTGAATGCCCGTCTCTCCAAGAAGCTGCAGGTAAAGGAAGCTATCTGGTATCGTCGCGTCAGGCAGTTTTCGTCAAACTATGTGTGCGCCTATGCGAAATGGGGGCGTATGGCGGAGTTCGATAGTGGGTACAAGGAGCCATTTAATGGCACGGTTCCCGTGGATGTTTGGGTGAGGATGAGGGCCGCATACAGCGCATCCGGGACTACGGGCATGATGAGCGGCAAAGAATTCCAGCTCTTGGCTACAATATGACACTTGTGGAATCGGTCATGACGAAACGTTGATACGGGACTAACAATGTGTTTAGGTGCTTGCTTTTTCCTCTCCGCTTCTTTTGGTTACGCATTTATTTTTCTCTGAGGAAGGATTGAAATGTGCGTGCGGTGCGAAGTTATCAGCTTCTTTG